TAAAAATGCGGAGCATAAAAAATATCATTCCTAATACCATGAAGATTTAGCTCATATTCTACAATTTAATTTAATAGATACTTAGTACATAATTTATTTATTAAAAAGTATACTAAATTTATATGTTACAATGTAACAGATACATACAGCAGATATGCCAACTTGCTCCTAGGATAAATACTTTCGAGTGGTAGTCTTACTATGTATGATTCTTGAGTTAGTAAATTTGATCAATAGGGTTTTTGCATACTATTACTTCTAAGTAATTCAAAGCCTTATGTGATACGCCCCTTTATTACAGTTATACCTGTACCACCGACTGCTAACTCCAATAATTTCAACTCATCAATTAAATGATATCAAGATGGATGGAATAATGGTCGCTGGAATAATGGAATAATGGTCGCTGCGTGACCCAGGTGCCCAGATCCAAATACATACTAGAACTAGAACAGTTACGCGTGCTGAGCCCGTTAAAAAGTTGGCAAAATTAACCGAAAATCTGAAAATTTTAGTTTACGGTTTAGTTAAACGGTTTTTTCTCTCCATTTAAACTACCTAATTTTTATGCTAATTTCCAAAACTTAAAACAGATCAGTTGAATAGTTATCGATAAATAACAAGTTTTTAAGTTTTAGTACGTAAAGTAAGCTTTTTGTTTAAAAAATTAATAGGCTATTTAAAATTGTTATTTCTCTTGATTTAATTGAGTTAGGATTTTGACAAAAGATGTCAAATTTTTCCACTTTTGTTAAACTATATAATAAATAATTAGCAAAAAAAATTTTTAAATTCGCTTGAATTTTGTTTGTATAAATGTTTTAATAGAGCAGTTACAAAACAACAACCATTGAAGAATCAAAACTGGAATGAAACACGTGAAGTACTTGTTAGATAGCATTCGGAAAAACAAAACTATGCGTTTCGAGAAAAACAAGCTTCCTATCATTATTAATTGCTTAATCAACTTCGCATTCATTATCTTTATTACCTATTCCATCATCAGCTAATTTTAAAATCCTGATAAAGGAAAGCTCGTTCTTCCCGAAATGCGTGATTTTTATTTTTCGTGTGGGTAAATCTCAACGATACAAAAAAGAACATTTATTTGCCTGATTTATCAACTTAATTAGCAGCTTTTTAAATATTTAGCATATTTTAACAGCCTTCTGGAACCAAGGCGATTGAATCTTAATAAAAGCACACGTAGTGAATTTGTCAAGATTTATTCAGGTATTTTTGAAAATTAGTATTGTGTCATATTATCAAAGTTATATGTGAGATATCACTAAAGTATGTAGGTAATTTAACATTAGAAAGCAAAAATTCGTTTTTTTTTCTTCAATTCATGAAAAGAAAATTTTTTAATTGATTTATTGTTTCACTTTTCGATTTTGTTATATCTCTTAGAGGCGTTTCATGAATTCTCTCTTGAGTTACAAAATGATTCTTTCTTGTTGGTACCAGTGGAAGCTCAACTACCAGTAATTAAGAGATGAAAACCATTTCCTTTACCTCTTTCCCTAATTATTTTAAATTTTTTAATTCTTTTTATTTTTAATTTTTTTATTTTTGAAAAATGCTAAATGTACCAGATATTTTCTACATACATTTAATTGGAAAAACTAAGGGACGTTTTCATGCATTTTTATAACTAATGTGTTAATTATTTCATTCAGGAAACTAGTAATGATTACTTTTATTTAAATCAATCTTTTAGAATAAAAATGGGCATAAAGTGCTCGAATCAACATCCATTCTTTGAAATTATAATTCAATTTATACTTAGATTTTTCAACGGAGAAAAGAAATTTTAATGGATGTAATGAATTTTAATTAATCTTATGATTCCGAATCCATTTATCTCGCTCGAAAAGATTCTATGGAATGATAAGTAAGCATAATTTCATTATTTCCTTTTCTTATCAACGTATTACTCATTTTTAATTAAGAAATCAGAAAGAAAATTCTAAAAGGATTTTATTTTTGTGAATAATTTTAAAGCTAATACATTTTTCATACCTTAAAGACATTTTGAAAGATAATGAATACAAAAGTTTCAAGAAATTAAAAGTACTTTTAACTTTCTAAAATCTTATTAAAAATTATTTTTATTCATTATTTTAAAAAAAAAATAATTGAAGACGTCTAAAGGGTTACTACCATTAGTTCAAATTTAAAAAATAAGTTTTTGGATCTGTAGGTATGTTAACATAATATTATGGGGTATGTTAGCATTTGATCTGTCATTAAAATTCTATAGATTAGAGTAAATCATATTTACAAATTATCACGAAAGCGAGAAAAATTGATGAATTCAAAAATTTATAAAAATAAAAATCAGCAAGAATTTATTGTTATAAAATATTCAAAAAAAAATTATATATGTCTTAAAAAATCTAAATTTTTAACAAAAAATTAAATTTTATAAAAATATTTTTCCATGAATTATTCCTTCTATTTCATACAACTACTGCGAATTGTTTTTTTTTTTTTATGTTATTCTAATGTTTAATTAAAAAAAATAACAGTGATAGGTATAAATTTTTCAGTCTTTTGCATATTAGTTTAAGTTATTTTATTTAGGCAAATTCAATTATCTTCCTATGCTGAAAACTTGAAAAGATTACTCCAAATAAATGTGTTTCCTATCTGAAATATTTCTTTAAGAACACTAGACATTAAAAAATTAATTTAAAATTATTTCTTTTAAATTTGAAAAAAAAAACAAGTTGAAACAAATTATTATTTTTAAAGTCATTATTATTTTAAAATACTTTTTCATATCTATTAATCCAGAACTTAGGATTGGTTGATTATACATCAAAACTTAGTTTTATTTTTTCCAATTTCTTTCTCCCTCACTCTTATCATTTGTTGATTTTTAAAAAGAAACTGTATGTTATTTATAAAGCTGAAAGGGAATCAAAACTCGAATTCATATACACATCATCATGATAAAATTCCATTATCCCACAATTTAGAGCAATAAATGCAGAATTCTTAAAGCAATAATTCTTCGTGGCATTATGAAATTAAATTCACAGAATTTAAATTCTGAAATTCAAATTTCTAGCATTCAGTTATAGATAGATATACGTGCTTAAAAATAAGCGATTTGGAGTAAAATTTAAGAAATAATCAAGCCAACATTACGTAAAAAAAAAACGGTTTAAAAATAAATATGGTAAAAATAAAACGCACCAAACTCGTCAGTATAATTGAAGGGTTTGGAACATTATAGAGGTTAGCCATACTTTTCCCGAAATTTATATTTTTACATAAAACTATTTCTTAATATAGTTTTCAGGTAGATACATTCATAGTTTCTGGAATTTCGAAAAAGTAATGGCACAATACACGTAAACATCTTATTGTATACATAAAAAGTATATAGTAGTTTTTATCAAAAACGCTTCTGAAATCTTTTTTTGCTCAATTTTAAAATATGGCTTATAAAATGTGGCCCAATTAATTGAGTATGAAAAATAAATTTTTATCAAATAATAAATTTTGTACTGAAAAGCATTCTATTATATATATGGGTCATTCTCACGAAAACTGTCATTTTTCAGTTCATAAAATCCCAAAAAAGTAAAGTGAATAAAAAGCTCTGAAACTTTCTATATTAATAGAAATATGTAATGGCATTATAAAGAAAGTATATATCCTATAAATTATACTTAATATTTAAATTAATTAATTTTTTAAATAATTAATTTATAATTATTAATTTATAATAATTAATAATTAATTAATTAATTTAATAAATAAATTAATTAGTTTAATAAATCAATTTATTAATTTATTTTTCAAATTAATTAATAAGTAAATTAATTATTTTCACTATTTAAAAAGTGAGGGACTGACACTAATAGTGAGGGAATGATATTTTATTTTAATACANATAGATAGATATAGATATATAGAAAGAGAGAGATATATAGATAGATAGATAGAAAAAAATTAGCACAACTGCCCTTTGTCAGTCAGAAGGGTCACAGAAGTTAAGGCTCCCCAATTTCGAGACCAACGGCATGATTGTAGCAATGTGGTCAGCACGGCGCACAGGCCACCTTTACTTCCCAGAAAACTGGATGTGTGTGTGTATATATATATTTAGTTTTGGAATCAAATGTAAGTCTAATTATGCGTAGTATAATTATGTATAGTCTAGTTATTCATAGTATCTTTCGTATTTATTTAAGTTATGCTTTTCGGAGAATATTATCTAATATGACTAATGACAAATAATGGAAAAAACTAAATAAATAAAAAGTAATAAAATAAATAAATAAATAAAAATTTAGTTTAACATCCCTTTAGCATGTAAAACGTGTGTGTGTGAAATCTTATTATTTATATTTTAAAATAAAAACATTTTGGGCCCAAATAAAAATTGGTGAACTACCGAACAAACGTCTTAACCTTTTGACGCAGATGGATTGCCGGTGCCCGTTTTATACATTTTTTTTCTGCCGCTCTTATTACAAGCAAAAAATATATTTTGGTATTTTTTAATTATAAAAATAGTCTCATAGCAACAAAATAAATATGTTAAATTATCGGCATTATATTTGTACTAAAGTACAAAATCCAAAAGAAGTAGTTTAAAAAAATTGTTATTCATGTTCAAAAATTTATCAATAATTAGTTTTGTAAATAAAAGAATTTTCTCCAATGAATTTTTTGGAAGTGAGCTGTGTTTGTAAGATTTTACCTTTAACGCGGAAAAAGAAAACCGGTGTTTCATTCTGTATTTCATAACCATAAATTATTAAAATGCTAATTATATCGTTTTTAACTTATTTTGACCTAAGTTAATTTAAAATAATGCAAAAAGTATGAAAAATATGTTTAATAAAAATCCTGCGTCAAAGGGTTAAAAAATATTTAGTTGATAACTAAAATTCCATAAATACCATTTCCCAATTGACACTAAATAAATAATTAGACCTAAATTATATAAGAGGATTAAATATCGATGTAAACAAACTTACCGGCATCAATTTGTTGACCAGTCGTAACCTCCCTCTCCCTTTCTACCTGTTGGGCACAAGTAGAAAATATGAGGATAAAAATCACTAGTAAGATCATCTCTGATTCCTAGGGTTGGACTGAGGAAGCGGAATATGTGTTTGAAGAATCTGGATGCCAAGGCCGGAGGTCAGTGTGACGACGAACAATGATTTCCAAGAGAAGGACACTTTTCCTTTCAACATCTCCTCACAGCATCTCAACCGTGACCCACCCTCTCTTACCCAATATTCAAAAAGTCTAACTAACCAACAATCTTTGCATTGAAACATTTTTTCCCTGCTGTTACGGTAAACAAAGGCGTTGCCTGTCGGGGTATAAATTTTTTATCACCAAACTTAATGAGAAGTATGGATTCGTGGTAATTTTCAGGGCTACTTAGTCTTCAGGGTGCCACACGGCTTGTTGGAGGTTAATAGAACAAAACAAACAGTTGTGAAATCTGAAAGATAGCTCGTCGTAGTTCTGTCACCTGAAGTTTTATGTTATGGTTAGTTGTATTCTAAAAAATTTCTATGAAAAGAATGAAAGAAGCTGAGTTTCTGCTGATATTAATTTGTAAAGCTTTACAAAAGCGTCAAGTTTTATCTCTGATCATATCTTAAATAGATTTTAATTAAAACAAAGATGGTGAAATGCATACAATATCTAAATAAAAATCCTTCAGTAATAAAATAAAATTCCTTTGGAGTAGTTGTTTTTCAGAGGATATTACTAGTATAGAGTTTTATATTGTAAGGAGTTATTTGAATTTTAGTGATTCGTTGTGACAAGAGTATTCAATATTGATCGGAAAAAATATTACTTAAAACAATAATAATAAAAGAATTGATTATCTCAGATTGTTGGTTTAGTTAAACTTTATTTGATAAACTATATCATGAACTTATAAGCTAAGATGCCCGCACTTTTTATTCAAAGTAAATCTAATTAAAAAATGTTCACACAATGAAAAGCTAGATTATTATAAGATTTTTCTTTGAACATAAAAATTACTAAATATAACGCATTTTATATGTTTAAAATTTCGATAGGATTTCTTACGATCCAATTGGTTAAAAATATTGCCACGCATTATTAAATTTTATAGTGTCTGGCTAATTTAACATCAAATAGAATTTTCATACCCTCTTCTCCATTTTACTATTTTCAATTCTAAAAAAAAAATGAAAAAAAAAACTTTTTTATTGTTAGCAAACCAATTAGTCAAAAACTATGTGCAAAACTAAAATTTGAAATAGTTGAATAGAAACTTTGTGTATTAAAATTACAATCATGAAAAGTTGAGATCAATTTTAAGTTAGCATAATTTTATGATAAGAAAAAATTTTGAACCCACATTTTTTGAGAGAAAAATAAAATCTTTAAAATATACTACATATTTATTACTATTTTCGGTTTCATATAAAATATACTCCAAAATAATTTAATTTCCTTAGAGAGCAGCTTTTGCTTATCTAGTACAGTGCTTAAAATAAAAAAAGGAGCACTTCTTAAAAAGTGAGCAATAATTAATTAAATTACTCAACAAATTTTGAAGTCGACCAATACTTATGTTATTTGCACTAATTAAAATTAAACCGAACTACCATTCTAATTGAAACAAAATCTAATTAAGACTATAATAACACTTTTTATTGAATTTTAGAACATCAGATATGTTGAACAATAAATTTGTTAGATTATCTAATAGTTTTGTTACATGATCTGATCTAATCGCAACTTCATGAATAAAAAATAAAATTTTTTTGCAAAAATATATCGTAAAAACATAAAAAATACTTAAAATATTTGTAAAATTATTTTAATCGTTTATAATTGTAAAATCGTTTAGCTGAAATATAATTCTTTTTTTTTCTTTTTTTTTAAATATTTAAAACTATAATAGCTATTTTTTTATTGAATTTTAGTACATCAAATTATTTTAAACAATAAATTTGAGATATAATCTATTACCGTAGCAATCGTTTCGTGATCTAAACTAATCGCAACTTCATGAGCAAAATAAAAAAATTCTTGCAAAAATCATTCAAAAATGCATTTAAAAAAAAACACTTAAAAATATTTGTAAAACAATTTTAATCGTTTACATTTTTAAAACTATTTAACTGAAATACTATTCTATTTTTTTAAAAAAATATTTTAAACTCTAACTTTTAATTGAACTTTAGGATATCAGACTATTTCAAACAATAAATTTGTGCGATAATGTATTAGCAGTGCGGTCGTTACGAGATCTGAACTAACCGTGACCTCATGAATATAAAATAACATTTTCTAGCAAAAGTTATTTCGTAAAAAAGTAAGAAAATACTTTACAATATTTGTAAAACCGCTTTAATGTAGAATAAATGAGTATAAAATATTTAAAAAAATTTCACTTAAAAAAATATTGTGTTTATTCTTTTGAAGGAAGTTAGGAAATTTTAAAAGCTAGATAATATGCAATGCCTATTATGGCATCACAATCCTTACATTAGAACATGCATTAAAAACGTAGATTTTTTTTTTTCAAAAAATCTTAAAAGCGTAAAATATAACTTATCTGCCATTTGTTAAGAATATTATCGCTTAATCATCCAATTGAAAGCTAAACTCAACTTTTCCTTATCATTATTTTTTTTAATGTTATTTTACTGGACCACCTACACCAAAGCAATTTTTTATTTTTCCGTCTTTTCAGAACGCGATGATAATAGATTATTTTTAGAATCCCAGTCAACAAAAATAAGCAAATTAGGGGTCTGGCGCTGTTTCAATATCTAAATAATTAAGAATACAAAAAAAAAAAAAAAGGTTAGCAAATCATTATCAAACCACTGTCAAATCTTTATCGACTTAGTAACTAATTTTGATGATTTTAATATCTTCTTCACTGTGATTAACCTTGATAATTATTTGATTAGAATTTGATATTTTTGGTTTTCTCTATAAAATATTATGAAGTGACTAGTAATGTACATAATATTTTATAAGAATATTTAAAGCATGTTAATCAGCTTGCTTTTTAACTTTTAATAAAAAATATCTAAGCAATAGCTAATGCATGTTTAAGACATTATTTTCAAAAATAGAGGAGAAGAAGTATTAATCTTTTACCAAGAATAATAAATGAACTTAGGTTTTTCAACTCAGAACCCACCCTAAAGTGCGGGTCCCCAAAAGAGGAAAAAAGTTCTGAGGAGTTATTAGTACAACATATCTCGTGTCATTCTCATTCATATTATTGATTTTCAATAGAAAACAGAACCTTTTTCTAAACTTTCTTTCCTATATCTTTCCTATCTGAAAATTATTAGGATCATTAGAGCACCTGAATTTTTTAATAACATCTGACAATTGCATGTCTTTCTAAACGTCTAGTTGATTTTCTATGTATTGTTATATTAACTTCAATTATTTTCTATTACTATTTTTGATAATAATTATGTATAACACTACTTTTAAAATATTTGAATACCTATATTTTAAGAAAGCATATTTTATATCGATATTATAAATTATTTGGGAAATGCATTTCATTTTTATGGTAAAATTTTGAAATTAATGGAGAACTAGTCAACTTCTAATTTTGTGACGTAGCGAAGTTAACTGTTAACCGTGCTTAAAGCCAAAACTTAAATATTTTCCTCATAAAAGCCTCCTTCTTGCTCTAAATATAAACAAATACCGGTTCTGAAGAGTGAGAAGTTTTTTTTTTCTCAGATATACAAAAAGCAGAGCTTGTTACATAATAAAATCAATTGAACCTCTTTCCTAGTTTTAGAGATCTATATTTGCCTCAATATTAGGCAAATATAGACATTTCAAACCAAACCGAACAGTTAAGAGGCTTCACTCTATTCTAGTTGTGTTTTGCTTTTATTTTTTAAATACTTATTTGCTTTTATTGCCTGACATACACTTAGAGTTTTTCATAGTTAATTTATTTAATTAGATATGTTGTTATTGTTGCTGTTGTTAATTTACGTCGCACTAGAGCTGCCCAATGGGCTATTGGCGACGGTCTGGGAAACATCCCGGAGGATGATCCGAAGACAGGCCATCACAATTTCGATCCTCTGCAGAGGGGATGGCACCCCCGCTTTGGTAGCCCGACGACCTGCGCGCGAAGTCGAGCACTTTACCGTAGAACAGTTTAACGAGGACCAATACCGCACACCCTCTGACCCTACGCAGACTGATCCAAGTGGTCACCCACACGCACACTGACCGTAGCCAGTGATGCTTGACTTCGGTGATCTGCTGTAATTAGATATGAAATGCATATTAAACACACTTATAACAGAGTATTATATAATCACTACCCTTATATCTTAAAATCCTTTTCAAAAATGAAATCAAAAAAATATACACAATTGGTGTCCCAAACTAATGTACAAATAAGAGCAAATGACAAAAACGCTATCCTGTTAATCGAATAAAAATAATTATGCTCCGAATTATTACATATAGTAAAAAGTTAAATAATTAGATCCAAATTAGTTTTCAAATATTATTTTTGTCAAGACAATTAAACAATATTTTTAGTAACTAGAGCATTGTTTTTGCTCCTCTATTCTGAAATAAAAATAATCGACATCTACTTGTAAAAGATAAATTAATGCAGTAAATAAAATTATAGCTAAGACAAAATCATTTTATGCACACTTAGCTGACGATTCCCTTTTATTCATCTCTAGAGTACTGTGAAATGCATACTTTTTCTATTTTTTAAGTTACAAATTTAATTTAAAATAATTTTGACCACCACTCTATAAAAATAAATAAAAAAATATCTATATCACTGATAATCATAAGATGAGATGTGCGAACTTTAAGAAAACAAAAAAATTATTTCTACTTAAAATTGTAATTGAAACTGCAATAGCCATCTCACTACAACTTAGCTAAATCTTTTTTGGAACAAATTTCAGAATTCAATAAGATACCTGGCCTAAGATAAAGTAAAACACCATACATAGTTTCAGATCTTAAGGATACTTTAAAATGTTAAGTGGCCTAACTGGATTAAATATCTTATGAACCATAAAAGATTTGAATAATTGCTATAGTGTTGAATTTTTTCATTAATTAGTCATAAGAGTTGTAGTGGAATTTCCAAAAAATTAATCAATTTTGGAGATTTTTTTTATTTGGTACAGTAAGGAAATATTATGTACCCGACGAAAATTAAGAATTTTTGATTTTTCAGCCAAAAAATGTCGCTTATCTTTCATTCAAAAATAACTAATGAAATTGGCAACAGCGAAACATTATTAAACCTCTAAAACAAGCAAATTCCAGACAAAATGTCTCAATGTAGACAATTTTCGAAATACAACAAAAATTTTATTTTTTTAACTAATATTTGAGATGTCCATATTTTTTAATGTGGATAACTCTAGAATTTTCCCAAATAGAAAAATATTTGGAAATGTTTCTCAATCAAACAATATTTTTTAACTAATACCATGAGAAAAACTGATACTAGGTTGAAGATGTAACTATGTTTTATTGTTAAAAAGGTAAAAATATTTGAAAACATAAAAAATTAAATGATAGAATAAATTTATTGCATCACATAACAATTCAACAGTATATATACATGTATAACATTCATAAACATTATCTTTGGTTACGAACACATAAAAAGGTGTCTAAGAACTGATTTCTCTGTTTCAGACTGAAAAAATTTAAATACAGTGAAGAATTTGAATCAAATTCAATAATTAACCAAGATCCACATTTATAAAGTATATCTAAATTATCTTCTACATAAAATATATTACTTTTTACAGTTTGGTTATTTGACTGAGATAGATTATTACTGTTATCTGATTCCTCTGGAAAATCTTTTAAGTGGATTTGTTTTACATTAGAATGAACATTAACAAGTGAACACACTTGAAACTGAGGCTGAGAAATGCTATCACTTGTTTCTTGCATCATTGATGACAGAATATGAAGCCTCTCTTCAACCAATATAACATGAGATGGAGTAACGAACACATAATGGAGAATACCATGTTGGCATTTATGTAACACTTTAGACACACAAACACGTTGACCAAACAAAATTTGCTTTTGCACAGAAACATCTGTGAGAGAGAAATTTGAACTCATGATTTCTAGCTCCAGCATTTTCTTTGCAAAAGGGTTCAATTTGTACACTGGCATGATATTATATAAATTATGACATTCTGAAACAAATGCATCTGTTGTATCAATATCCATCATTAACACTATAATATTTTCATGATTATTATGATTGGATTTAACTTTAATTTCAGTGTAAGCGTCACAGGGACCAACACTAAGCGAAACTATATCTGCAGGTAAGATAGATCTAATAAATAAAAATTCTGGAGTTAAATTATGATTATTTTCAAGGGAAGAAGAGTTCTTTGAAATTTTTTTCAACTCTAAAAATACTATTTCATCGTGTCTCATTAATATACATATAGGAATTTCAGAAACTAAGTCTTTGAGATTAAGCAAAACCACCCACAATAATTTAGAAGTTTTTATAAGTGTAGAACAATCCCTGTTTGAGTGATTGAAAACACTATCGGATGTGTCAGGAAATTGTTGACCCACCAACTGCTGTTCAATTTGAAAAACAGAAGCATCCAAACTTAAAAGCCAGTCAGGATAAGAAATTTCCATACTTGATGTAAATCTTTCCACAGTTTGAGATGTTGCAACATTTGGGGATTTATTTCCAACAAACATGCTACCATATTGTAATGAATCATCACTATGAGAGAAAGAGGCATCGAATTTGTTCAATGTCACCTCAGCATTAACCTACAATGAAGAAAAGAGCATAAATATAAAGAAAAAGAGCATTATATATATACTCTCACAACATGCATACATATTTCCACTTAACCATAAAAATTAAATTATTGAAATTTTAACACAATTACATTAATGTAATTTGAAGCAAAATTTTTTTAAGAGATTTTTAGAGAGAGTCATAAACTATTAGTTAGCCATTATATAATATTATTCAAAAAATTGCAAGGTGCATAAAGATTGTATCCTAAATACATCTTCGCAATAAAAATGGTACATTTTAGCAAAAACCTGATATAACAAGATATGAAAAATGCAAAATTCAAGTTCATTTACACTGTGAATCAAATTCTAAATAGGAATTAGAAAGAAAAATTAGTGCAAATTTGATCTTACCTAGTTTGGATTGAGTTATTGATTTTATACATGTGAAGGCTCTAATAGATTAAAACTCAAATAAAAATATGCATGATATATCTTTAAAATCATATCATTATTACCTTAATATAGCTTTAATTCATGCATCATTTATATTTAAAATCATAATTGATCTTTCTGAAAATATACCATATTATTTAAATTATAAGTTAATTTTTTTAACATCACAAAAAAAGACAAAAAAGATTTAGTTACAAAGAGATATACAAAATAAAATAAAACAAATTAGATACCATTCAAGTGCAAATGGTCATCATCAAATATGAGGAGAAAAATATAAGTTACTATTATAACTATTTTCTAACACAAAAATTATTAGTTTCCATACATTCCATATAAATGCTCAAAATAATGATTAAACAAAATAATGTTTAAACAAAACAATTATTAAACAAAATAATGTTTAAACAAAATAATGATTAAACAAAATAATGATTAAACAAAATAATGATCATAATAAATAATACAAAATAATGATTTTAGAAAATATTTATGTGAAAGCTGGTTTCATTAGAAAACCAAAATCTAAATAAAACTATCTGGGATTAAAAAAAATGTTTAAAACTCCCTTTTTTTTAATTCCTTTTTTAAAAAATAGACAACTCTGAAAGATAACTCTGTCCACAGATCTTTTCAACAATTAAAATTTTAAAAAAATAAAATTAGACTTAATTATATAGATGAAAGACTTGGTATATGACAACATTATAATGGCATAATATTCTAAGTTAATGTTATTGCAAATAGAAAAAAAAATTGAAGTTGTTGAGCATATTGTATTTTGTCATTGCATGAATTAATTTCTATTTAAATAAATCACATAAATGTCTAAAAATACACATTAAGCAAACACTTTCATAATATTATTTAAAACAGTAGTCATCTTTTCTACAACATTTCAACATAATGGTCAACAGCTCAAATTGAATGGCATTTAACAAATATGGATTTTTTTTTTTTTTTTACATATTTTTTAATAATTAAAATTTTTAAAATTTTAATTTTTGTGCATGAGCTAATCATTCTATATTAACTATTTTTCACTGTGATTTTTTTTAAATAAATAGTTGTGTTTAAGAAATGTCATTATCTTAAATTCAAAAATGTATATCGTTCTAATTGTAATTAGTTTTGTGAATGTTTTACAAGCACAAATAAAATTAACAAGTTTCTAAACAAGATCTTCATAGAATCTCCTCCTGTGTGCATTAATATAAAAAGCATGCAAAAAAATTCAGATAGAAAAGAATAGATTTTCTATTTAACATTGAGTGAAATAATAAAATAAAACCTTTAAGCCTTGAACAAAAGTGCAGAGTCTTGTTTCTATTTTATGACTATCTTTTGAATAAAAACTAAATAAACTGATTAGGTATATATATATATATATATATATATTTCATAATATACAAATTCTTATAAGATATATAACAGAAAAACAAACATTGCCAGCAAAAGATATTTAAACACAACATTATAAGGAATAGTCCCTAAAAATATTAATAGAATCTTTTATTGTTTTGGAAAACAGACAAATTCCGATAATTCAGCAGAACTGAAACTTTCCTAATGGGTACTGATGATTAACAGCACTAGGTATGAACTTGAATAATAAAACGAAATTTTTATTCTTGAGACGATCTTCAAATTAAAAATATTATGAAATATGTTTTCAGTTAATAGCAGTACCTCAGAATTGTGTATCTCATTTAACAGACGCAACCAATCACTTCCACCAATCTTCCTGAGAGTTTCAACTTGATGACGAAATTTTGATGACCGATTAACGTTGCTCATAATCTTTTTAGTTGTGTTTTCTCCTAAAACAAATCTACTCTTAGCCATTAAATACAACTGTTTTTGAGAAACAAAGTTGTAAATACACAATAACTACACAAACAGATGAAATTTTGAACTTATCTAGTTGCTTACAAGTTAGGAGGGTAATAGTTATAAGGTAAACCAAAATAAAAATATAATAAAATAAAATAAATCACTTTAGTCACAGTAACACCAATAAGGGAAGTTTTAGAGTATACTTCAGAATGGTAAACAAAAGGAGAACAAAATTATTCACAAATGTCACAGAAGAAATAAGAAATCTTTAATATTTTAAATGAGTTCTAATAATAAAAGCTTTGAGAGTTAATCCAAATAAGACGGAAAAAAAGCAATGAACAAAAATACAAAATATGAACTACTTTTAACTATCTAAGGCAAACGATAACATATAAACTATCAAACTAAAAAAGAAAGATTTTTGCATTATTTTAGTTATAAATATATTAGATATTTAGTAGTTATATCAGTTATATTTTAGTTATATACATGTGTATAAAATAAATAAAAACATATAATAGATAAGATTTTTGTCCAAATGCTAGTAAATTAATTTTTAGCAGAAAGATAAGAAAAAGTAAAATAAATTGATATCTTCCGAATCATTTTAGAGCTTTGCTGTGTTACATCTCCATCACACTTTGACAAAGCCAAAGTGACAATATAACCTAAAATATTCATGTTTGATACCTGCCTACTATTAATCTACATGGTAAACTTGGTTATCATTGCTAAAAGAAAAGAAGTATCTAACTAGATTTGTCAATTCTATTTATGATAAAAGAGCATTTAATTTTAGCACTAACATTTACTCTTTAAAAGGAAAAAAGATATGTCGTACATAAGGGTGGTAACCAGAAAAAAGTTTCTTAGAAAAATACCTAAAATTATTGCTGTCAAACCTTAAGTCGAAAAGAAAATGATTATCTTTTCTTATTTATTATTATTATTATTAATCTACACTTTGAAAGCTACATGTAAGTGAATCTTTTAGTATTAAATTGAAAAATAAATGTTCGTTTTACAGTTTGTTTTTTTCTGATTTTCAACTAACCATGAAACGTTCCAAAAAAGGGTAATTAAACAAATTTTAGCTGTAATATATTCACTAATTAGAAACATTGCAAAAGCAAATCAAAGATTTACACATTAACAATGCCTTAACATCAAGTTAACTTAATAAAAATTAGTTTTAAAGACTTAATCTTATTGTTAGGTAATAAAATATATAAAATGACTAGACAAAGCTGTTATGTTGATATTTAAAGCATCTGCTTAGAGGAAAACACAATAAACCAACCTTATACAAACACTATGATTATTATTTAACAATACTTCAAGAGCTACATAAATTTTAATTTTTTTCTTTTTTTTATTGATATTGATAACTCACTGTGAAACATTCTAAGAAATTATAATTAATTCTAAGAAAAGAATAAAGCATAAATAAGTATATACATGTAAAGAAACAAATAACTGAAAATAAAATATATTTTTTTTAATTAATTGATACTTTTATAAAAACTAAACATGTAATACACTTAATAAACACCAATCCTAAATAAACAAGAAAATTCCTTCACAAAATTTGATTAATCTGAATTAAAATTTAATAATTTAAAAATATCTGAATTAAATTTAGATTCACATTGTCTGATTCATTTCAGAATTGTATTTTAAAAAGTCAACACTATCACTTTTCATACACTGCAGTAATAATGCAACCGGAAAAGCATTAGTTTTTTGGTCTTAGGACATCCCACATCTTCACTAACTCATGCACATACTTCCGCATACGTAGCTCGGCTAACTTTGAAAGTTTTAATTCAAGAGTGATAATTTGTGGTCATCCAGTCTTCCCACTAAGAGATAATTTAATCTTTAAGGGAATTATTTATATCAACATCCAGGGATTGAAGCATTTCAGTAAACCATCTTGGAATGACAGTTAACTTTGTGGAAAATTTCTTACTGCAATTCTTTTAGGGAAACTTTCTTTGGGGATTAACTTCTGCTTTGAAACAACAAAAAAGCAAGGTTTTCTCCTAAAGTAAAACATGGCAAAACTATGGAAAAAGTAATTTTCCCATAAATCATTGTTGTTACATATACAAAACTTATCCAGCAGAAATTAACAGACCCCTTTTACTTACTGGACTGTTAGAAGAAAAATGGACGATGTGGTCAGCTTTTTGACTTAGGAAAAAAATTAATCAACAGTTTTATTTTGTATGCAATTGAATCTTAGAGGCATTTTATCCATATTAACTATGTTTTTCTCATAAATTTGTTTTTAGTTTTGTTTTTGATACGAGAAATCCCACTAATTTTCATTTCCAATTAGAGAGGTAACGAATAGAGATTTGGACAAATAGCCGAATATTCGGCCAGAAAAACCGGCCAAATAGCAATATTTTTTTAAAAACAAAATCATTAACAAATATTAATGATTTTTGATCCACATATGCATAAATTAATATAAATAGTTTCATATATTACTAAGTTTAGTCATTATTGAAAATTGGTGTGAGGTAAAGGAAAAAAACTATAACGGTAATATTTAAGATAAATAAAAAACAGCAACCGTTATTAATAAAAGCTAAAGTGATAAATTTTTAAAAAAAAGGGAAATAGAAAACAATTTCCTTTAATTTTTAAAACTTTAATGTTAAAAATAACATTTGCTATTTTGTGGGGAAAAAATTATCCATATAACTTTAAAAGAGATACACTCTATTAAAAACGCTTTAAAAAATACAGTGCTAAGTAAAAAGCACCCATAAAAACGATCATAAATAAAAGCAAAACAAAAAAAAAAAATTTGTCTTAGTTTTTGAAAGAAAATTTAAAGCTAAACATCAATTTTCCAACTACGGTATTTAAAAAAAAATTGAAGAATAACCTCTAATATAAACCCTCATAATTTCTGCGTCATAACGAAAACGTTTATAAAAACAAATGCTTTTAAAAGAGAAAAAGCTAGATATAAACCAAAACAAAAATTGTTCTTAATTTTTAAACAAAAAATCTAAACGTTAAAAATCTCAATTTAACTTTTTCACATAGTCGTATTTTTAGAAATTAGCTACCATAACAGAATAACATTCATTAGAAATGCTCTCTAAAAATTGAAAAAACTTTGCCCCTCTCTAAAAACTTAGTAAAAAAATATTCTTCCAAAAAATACTTTGCTGAATATTTGGCTGAATATTCAGCAAAAGAGCCGAATACCGAATACTGGACGAATTTTCTTTACATCCTTATTTCCAATGTGAAGGTAAGCACTGTTCAATAGCTGTGCAAGCTCTTGCCTTTAAGCCATAAAAAAATAAGCAGGGATACCCTCTCCTATCAGGCTGTCTTCGTTTGTCAGCAATTAAAAACTCTTAAATAGATTTTTGCCTAAGACCTCTCATCTCATCCATATTGAAATTTCTTAAAGCTGCTTGATTACCTTTTTCCTCAGCAGTTTTAATTACTTTAAGTTTGAATTCTGAAGTATAATTGACATATTTTTTCTGGACATTTTTAGTGATTTTATTTCATACTTCACACACAACAGCTAAACTGAAATGCAATTTGAAACAAAAGAACCGTCTGACTACTAGGGTAACAGTTAACAGATGTACAGATCTAAAGACAGAGAAATAGTCAGTCTTGATGTGACTTTCTTGATTATCTCTAGTCACATTTAAAAATATGAACAAGTTTTTCACCTGCTCTGAAAGGTGCTAGTGTGTGATTGATTACTCATCATCAAAAGAGGAATGGTTTTAAAATTTCCAAATAATTACTAACTTAACTAATCTTCCAAAATATACTTAAATATTTTCAACATAATACTAATGTTTCTTTTTGGATTTAAACCACAAGCAAGAAAATTATATATTTATCATAATCTTGTAGCAAATCTGGGCCAGCGCTAAGGATTTCAAATTATTAGCCAGTAAATTAACCAAATATCAAAACTATTCACCAATTTTCAAATGTCTTTGCCAAAAGCAAATCTTAACAATTTTTATGATTAATTTTCTGCAATAAAAAAGTATTTTGCAGTAGTTTGTTTCAGGCTTATTTTATTTGTACCCAATTCTAATCGGTTATACAGCTTATCTACCGAAAATCACTGTAATCAAATAAAAAATACTGATTTGTTTAGAAAAATTCACTTTGACCTAATTTTGATGATCAAGTTAAATATATATTTTTCTTTCCAGGGGAAAAAAATCCTTCACCAATATTTTTGCCAAAACACAATTTTTTTCACCAAATTTACAATTTTACAGCATTTTGCGTGGTGGTGAATGTGTAGTGCGGGCCCTGCAAATAAAGGCATCGATAACCTGTGAAATGGCCGAACACTATTTACTCAGATAAAATTTTAAAGAAATATGCAAAAAAATAACTTTTACAATGCTTCACAACATTAAAAGAATTAGTTTTCATAAAGTTAACATTTATATGAATTTTTGTGACATATATTTTATCAATAAAAACATAGCACTATAGTAATAAAAATCACCTGGAGAATTTTGTTCTTGATATTTTTGAATTTGTTGATGATGGTTATAAGAGTTCGAAATGCTTTCTCCCTAAAATTAAGAAATTAAATATGAAAAAACAAAAACACCTGTAGAAGACACTATGTTACACTATGATGTAAAAATATAAGTATAATAAAAAAATGAAGTATTTATTAAAGTATAATAAAGAGCAAAAATTGCTCTGAAAATAAAATATTTTTCAACCCTAACTGAAAAGTCTACTTCACTTTGAATATTAATTTTTATAATTCAAAATTAGGGGATATGGAGAAAAAAACTGTTGGCAAACATTAATTTAATTGACTGATTATTTATATAATGCTACTTTTTCCAAGTAAATTTGTAGAAAAAAATTAGATTTGAAGTGGACAATTATTATGAAAGTTTGTATGTCTGGATAAATATAAATTTGATATAACTGATTTATCAACTTTAACAAATGCATCAGGAAAAGAGCTGATATCTCATTTTTAATATTATCATGTAGCATAGGAAAATTGTCACTTAATCAATAAAATTCCTTAACACTTAGCATATTTATATTTAAAAAAAGTATAAAATCAGTCAAGCATAATAATAAAAATAAAATAGACACAGGGTGCGGAGCGAAATTATTCAACAAAAAATAAGCACCTTTTAAGCACTTTTCAAGCACTCAAAAAATATTTTTAAGCACTTTAAAAAATATCATAACTAGGCAAGGTTGGAAAGTTTTTGACAATTGATAGTTTTATCTTGTTTTAACCTACATGTCGAAAAAAAAACCCTTTTGGCTTTGTTTTTGACTATTGTCAAAAATCATGAAATTTTGAATAAGTAAAACAAATGGCGTTTTCATACGTTACGGACTGACAATACGCTGAAGTAGATTGATTGGGTTTGAATTAATTGTGAAACGTTGAATAGAACAATGTGAACTGTGTCTTTATTATAATTCGTAGCGGAAATCAACATGGTAAAGGAAAAATCTCATTTTAAACAAAGGAAAATTAAGCACTTTTTAAAAACACCCAATAAAAAAAGCACCTTTAAGGGCTTTTAAAAAATGAAATCGGAAAAAAGCACCTTTCAGCACTTTTTAAAAATGCTACGCACCCTGAGACAATTGAACTTAAAAGAGCTATCAATATTAGCATACCTGTGAAAGATTTTGATTGACCAACGAGGAAGAATTTTCTCCTCGAGCTTGTTTTAAGGCTTGCAAAATCGACACAGTATCTATCTCTTTTTCAGTAGCTTTTAAGCCATCAAGTGTTAACTGTCAAAAAAATATATAAACAGATAAAGTAATTCAATTCTAAATGTTTCATTTTAGTTTATGTTCCATCAATGATATAAAATTTATATTTTACTGTTTTTCATGTTGAATAACTTTGAAAGCACTTACTTCAGGAGCAAGAGATCCAAAAAGTAGTAAGACTTGGGGCCTATAATCTACACAAAGTGTGACAGGATTGTGTTGTAAACTCAACGTTTCAAGACAGGGTAGTTTACTAATGTGAGAGATTTCTGGTAATGATGATATCAAATTGTATTCTAAAAGAAGTTCAGATACAGAAAATAACTTGGAAAACCCTAAAAAAAAATCTTAAATTAAAAAAAGAGAATCTGTTTTGTTTGTTACATTTAAATTGCAATTATATCACGATAAAATACAATGCATACAAGGAATTATTTCATTGCGATAAAAATATTTATATCATGAAGATTGAAACACAAGAATTTTAGGTAATTTAAATATATTGAACCGTTTAACCGTGCAAAATTACTATTCCAAACAATTTAACAAAATAGGGAATAAGTGAGGAAACAAAATAAAATGATATCACTTTGTCATTGAATGAAAACTTTAAAATATTATTTATCTTAAGTTTTATTGATCAGAAACTATTTGACTCATTGTCTTCAAATTTTTGATTTCGCGATTCAAAAAAAATGCAAGTTATAGAGATTTAGATGATGAAAAAAATTAGTATACTTTAATATGATTCAAAAGTTATTGAACATTGTAAAATTAAATAATTAAAAAATAATAATTATTATAAGTTAGTTTTTGTAAGAAATTCTCTATAAATTGCGAAAAAAAAATTATTTGTTTCAATAGTTTTATTGATTTAGCAAAAAGTAAAAAATAACATTTAGAAGTTCAAATTCAAACATTTGCAATCAAACTACCCAGAATATATTTTTCAGATTGTTTTTGAGTATTAAATATTCAAATCTGTAGAAAAAAGCACTTTATTTAGAAAAAGTAAATTTTAATACCTAATTTCATAACTTAAAATATTTCCTACATTAGCTAGTTAGAATATTTTGCAACCTTTAAGGTTGCATCTTATACATGAAAAACTTTCAATTCGATATTAAGTTTTTCCGATGTTCTTTTTTTTGTGCACCATATGACCGTAAGTAGTTCTTATATAAAAAAAAATAACAAATTTCTCAATGTGCTTGATTCTCAGTTAGAAAATAGCAAAATTTCTAAATGTAATTTGATTCCTGAGTATAGAAATAAAGATATCTCATTTTATTCTAATGATTTTTCTTTTGTTTTTTATGCACACATATATTGGCAGTTGATAGGGAAAACTTGTTTTTGGACTTCCTTTTATGCAACACAATCATTACATAAAATTAATCATTTAATTTCTAACAAAATTTAATTTATAATTTGTAATAAACTGTTATGTGATTTAAGAAAATTATTTAAAAAAAATTACATTTGATTTCTTGCATATTTAGTTTAATCAGTCAATAAAGCTTAGAAAATAAAATAAAAATTATAAACACTAAAACTTAGAATTACCTTGCAAGCTCTTGATTTTGTTTGATGACAGATTTAATGAGTGAATGTTTCCCAGTCTAGTATGAAGAGAATCAACCTCTTGAATTTTGTTATGAGATAAATTCAAAACAGATAATTCAGATAATGTTTCCATGTGCTCTATAACTTGAATTTCATTGTGACTTAAATCAATGTGCTTCACAGAAGATAAAAGTTTCTACATAAAAAAAATAAAACCATAAGTATTCGGTTTCTTAAAAGTTCTACTAACTATATGCAAAAAGAAAACAAATGATAGAATACTTAAGTATATATTATACAAATCAAGGGTAAGGGAAAAAAACAAGGTTTATTTTACAAAAAAACTAAAAATCCAATTTTTTTAAAGAAGGTCTTTTTTAGGTTATTAAAACAAATGGTTAAATAGTACTTTATGATCTAAATTAAATATAAAAAACTACTATGAAGTATAATCATGAAAACTTTTTCAACTATTAATATTACTAATAAACATTATAAACCAATAAACATTAAACTTTCCTTCCATAGACATGCTAATATGATAAAAAAAGAAGAAAAACTGGAGATTTTGAATATGCTTATACATTACTTTACAATTCAACTTAAAATGTGGATAAAAATCTAATATTAAAGAGTTATATTAGTAATGAATGTAAAAAAACGTGCTCCCCTATATTATGTATTTATCATACTTAAGCATTATTTAATGTCATTAATTAGCAGTATTCAATTCACAACATTTATATCAATTTACTTAATAAAATTATCATGTCAATTTTTTCAAATAAATGAATACAAATTTTAACTTTTAACTTATGAGAGTGTTTTCTTCAGAAAACTTTTTTTATTTTTTTATTTGCAATGTCAAATATTAGATTTTGTGAGCAAATATATATATATATNCACAATTTTCCCTTTTATCAATAATTTATCTAGGAATCATATATATACACACACATATATATATATATCATCAAATAATGATGAAAGCATGAATGTTTTACTAAAGTGTGACATTTTTGCAACAAATATTTTTAATAGATGCTAGAATTATTTAACTCAAATCTCAATAACTGATTAGTGTTACTGACTATTCTGTAACTGATTATCTTCCAGGTTTTTCTAAAAAATTGCAATTTTTCCTGACTATTCTCTGCTTTTTCGGGTCAAAATAAAACTTCTTGACAATTCCAGGTTTTTCTGTTCTCCCTGAACCGTGGGATTCCTTTGTAAAGATGAAAAGGACTAAAAATGTCACTTGACCGGCATACATATATACATATGAAATAGTGAAGTAAAGGTAAGTAAAAAATTGTTTATTTTAGCACAATTAAGTTTAAAGCATAACAATGCATATAAATTATGCAACATTAAAAAAAACATGCATTGAAAATATTTCATATGATTTTTAAAATTTTTCAATACTTAAGAATTATGCTCTTTCATCTGAGCATTGTATTTTGAAAGCATTGCAATGCATGTTCCCATTGCAATTGTTAAGAATAAAAACATACGTATACATACAATAAAAAAAAATTTATCAGGATAACAGAAAAAATTTTAAAAATAACCTGAAAAACATGACATTATCTAGATTATTATTATCCGGGATCAATTTTTCTTTTGATTTTAAAAAAAAAAACCTTTTCATGAAAATAATTGCACATTTTTAAAATTGGGAAAAGCACCTTATTCCTATTATTATTGAAAAAGATAGATACTTTTGATCTTAACTTGTTCTATAAGTGCATTTGTTAAATAATTTTAAAAACTATCAGTGCACGAAGTTTGTGATGGTCTGTTTAATTTTTAGAATGTTTAGAGACAACATATTTTATCTTTACATTTGCACACATTATTTCAAACATATTATCACAAAAGAGTAATAATACTTAAACATTTAAAAGTTACAAATCAAAAGTATTTATTCTAAGAAAAACAAACTCACTTTAGCTATTAAACTCTAGATTAAAAAGATTTTTATGGGAAAATTCAATTTTTTTTCATTTCATTGTAATTAAACTAAATCTATTAATATAAATAATAGAAAACTGAGTCAGAGTTACAAGATTTTTTTTCTCAATAAAAAACCAAGCCCGGTTTTTTAAAAAAGAACTTTGGTTTAAGACAATTTTTAAACTACATTAGTTTAAACCAGCCAACCCTGCACAAATCAAAACTTAATATCAGGATACAAGCATACATATTTGTCTGACTAGCTTTCTGATTGTTGTTGGAACATTTTTATTAGTCTAATGATTACACGAAATGATCAATAAGCAAAAAAATTCAGATATCTTTAGCTATCATCATCAAAAAATTAATAAAGATATCAAGTTACAAATCAGTAAATTGTTTATAATTTATATTTTACTATTTTCAAGTCTACATTTTACTACTTCAATTCTATTATGATTAAAACTAAAAATTGCTAATAATAATCTAAATGTTATGAAATATTGAAGTTACACAACCTTAAAGACATTGTATGAAAATGCAACACCTTACAATAAACATTTTATGACAGTTTGAAAAAAATGGCGGATGTAACATTTATAAATTGCATAATTTCACAATTTTTAAAATATGATACTTAAGAAGCACCATAATAAAATTAGTTATATTTATCTAGTAATGAATTTTATGCAAAACAGCATCCAGTTAACATAAACAATTAAAGTATTACATATAAAATAAGTATTAAGGCTTCATATAGGGCCAAAGAAAGAAATCAGAACATTTTTCAAAAATTCATTACATATTTTAAAATAGTAGGCATATACCAGACTACTTTTAAAAAGACAAACTTAAAAACAAATTGTTCTGCTTAAGTATAATAAAAGCAAATTTTATCCCAAAAGTAAATAAAATGTACTATATTTTATTTCAGAATAACTTTGTTAAGAATAGAAAGTTTTAACAGCTTCTAGTAGAATTTAACAGAGCACTGAACAACTTATAATTGAGTCAAATAAATTTGAGTCAGTTTGAGTCAAATAAATATAGCAAATTTTTATAGTACTGTGTCACATAAAAAATTATCAGTATCAATTCATTAACATTCCCTCATACAAAAATTTATCTAAATGTTATAGAATTCAAGATTTTTTGTTAATCAAATAATTAAAAAGAAGGGTTTTAATAATCTAGAAAACAGTATACATAATGCCTAATACTTTTTGTACATGAGTAATTTTGGGAATTAATCATCCTCAAATTAATGTTTAAAAATTCTATGATATGATTGCATTTGCTGATCGGAATTGATCATTTTCATAATCAGCTGAATCAATAATTGTGAAACTAAAAAATTTCATTAAACAAGATTTATTACTGAATATGCCGAAAATAATAAATAAGCATGTGACATAGGGAAAATTAGAAAACTTTTCTACTGGTCAGATGTAACGTTTTTAACAGTGCCCACTTACAAAAACATGTGGCCACTTTTTCAAAAGTTGAAAATTCTAAGTGATTAAAAATACTTTTCATGTAAATAATGCAAAGCATAATTTGTGAAGCATTTCTCAAATCATGGGGAACACTACAAAGATCAATTTTTAAAATAAAGAAAATTTTAAGAAACAAGTGTAAAATAATAAATTTTTCAACATATTATCAATGCTCATAATTCCACATGTATATAAATAGTAATAAAATACACAAGGTGCATATTCAATGAATAAAAGGCCAATTAGGTAGCAACTAGAAGACAATTTTTTAATAAACAAATAAAAAATTTGCTTTGTCAGAAATGATCAGCAGCTAATACCAACAGTACCAGAAATGAATTCCAGATGGCAGTGTGTTTTCGTTATTAGTGCTGCTAACTTCTAAAAAAATACTTATTTTCTAACTAACACCAGCTTGAATGTATGTGATCATTCCAGGAATTTATTGACTCTACTTTGTATTACTGCAATTACTATCTTTTTAAATATAAAAAGAAGAAATTTTTTACTTTTAGTTTGAAAAATTTATATTACAAAACTTAACTTACAATTGAAGTATGTATTTTTGTGATTCGATTGTGGCTGAAGTTGAGAAAAGTAATTGAATTCCAAAAAGGCCAAGTATGAAGAGGATCTGTAATTGGACACCAATGAAGTATGCCACAAAGTAAAATATCTGCTATGTTTTCCAAAGTTTTATGAACAATTAATGTCTTTAAATTTGCCCGCAAAATATCAACAGAGGTTAAATTCTTAGCCAGGTTGCAGTTGTATACCTAATAATTAAAATTAATTGACATTAATGTATTACATAGTATTCAAATCAAGTCAAAATTAGAAAGTTGAAAGTTGTAAAAATACTAAATCACCAAGATTGATGGAAATAGTAACAATTACTAATGCATTGTAGCAAGCCCCTTGGCATCACTACGATAGGTCACACACTGAGGAAGCACGCAGCAAGAAAGAGGCAGACAGGTGGTGCATTTCATACTTTTGCAAAGATACGCATGAGGTGATGTGCACATGCTAATGCAAAAGTAAGGGAATCTGCCTCCTGTATGTCTCTTACGACTTGTGTATGTGGTCTACCTAAAAGTTATGCACTTTACAGGCTTAGAGTGAAGAAAATTTGGATGAATTAGAGATATTTCTCTCAGATTCCTCTCTCATTCATCCAACTCTCTATTTCTTCTCAATTTGGACAAACTTTTCATCAATATTTCTTACATTTATTAACACAAGTAAATGCTTCAGCTCAGCCCATTCCTTTCTCTAAAATGCTAAGGTCTGGATTTCTTTATCACACAATGTTAGAAGAACCAGTTCTGAGCATGCTTGGGTTTGTGCTTTTGATCATTTTCATGTTCCGAACATAATAATGATGCAAAGTTTTATATCAGGACATGTTATAACAGCGAGATGAAACCATGATCAAGAGAATTGAGTGCATAAAGACACATAGTCTATTATGTCTTCATACTCGATCCTATGTATAATTTTGTGAATCCAACTCAAGGGATCCACTCCAAGGTGGGAGATGCATTCCCTAAACATGACACTTTAACTTGCATGCTTCATTGTTCAAATCTGGCTTCTTGAGTCAAAACAAGTCAAGGCTCATATGCACCAGGAAAAATGTTAAAACTTAAAACTTGTTCAGTATAGGTTTCACTTAAAAATTAAAAAAAATCGAATGTCATTGGAGCTAGACAAATTTACCTAGGAATATTAAAATATTTTTACAATTACAAATATAGTAAAATACAATTTTTCATTTTAGTATTATTACTTTTTTTAAAATGTTTCCAGGAACATACAAACTCTGACTTGTGGGAGACAAATTCACTATATCTCAACCTTATCAAATGAGATACAGTCCTTCGCCAAATTATTAGACGCACTATAAGATTCTATGCAAGTTTCTAATTATCAGAGGATACTATATAATTTTATTGTTTTTACGCGACTGAAACCGCTTGAACTTGTTTACATTCGTGTATCAATTGGTTAATATAGACGATATATAATGTAATATAAATTCAACGATTGGATAAATAAGATATATTATATAAATATAGAATATTTATTATATCAGGTATTATATTAGTATATTATAATAATTAGACCAAGTTATTAGATGCGCTGTAGTGTTTTAATAATTACATGTTTTGCAAGAGTTTTTATATGCAATAATTTTATATGCAATAGTTTTATACTTAAACATACATGTAATGGGTTTTAATTCAGGAGATTTTTTATATACTTACTATTTGTATTTATTTTTAACATATAGCATTACAATGTTAACCAATTGATACACGAACATAAACAGGTGTAAACCGGTTTCAGCCGAGTAAAAACAATAATGCTGAATAGTATCACCTGATATTTAAGATTTTACATAGAATCTCATAGCGCATATAGTAATTTGGCAGTGGACTGTATATTTCACTGGGCAAAACACTTATTTGTTTATAAAAGCTAGTTAAAGCAAAAACTTTATATGGAAATATAGTAAAATAAAGCTGTCTAAATAAAAAAGACATCACTCTAAATGTGGTAAAATTATTTTCAAAGCTTTGCTAATTATTAATGTAGTTACAGGTAAAAAGGATTTAGGGTATTTCCAAAATATAAATTTGAGTAAGAAATTTAAAATAGTTTTTGACAACACTCATAGAAAATATTATTAAAAAAAACATGAACTTGGCACTTTTTTCACTAATACTATACTGAACTTGGCACCTTTTTTACTGGTACTATACTGGTTATGGGAAGAATATTTGTTTCATTTTCAAAAGCTTGCTAAATTTCATTTAATATGCTTGAGTCAGCCACAAAAAAAGTAAAGATAATTAAAAGAATTTAGTTACATTTTGTTTATAAAATCTAAACTTGATTAGGTATCAGAGAATTCATTATGAAAGAAATATTCTGGAACAATGGCAAAACAACACTAAGGTATGATTAATGACATGAAAGTTTTAAGTATATTAAATAGGAACACTTACTTCAAGAGTAACAGCACTTTTAAACAAAGACAGATCAAAAGAAAGTTCATTAGGGATAATATTACTCTGTTCCAAACACTCAGAGCTACCAATTATTATTAAATGCTTCAACTGTGTCACAAACTCTACTAAATGTGCTATGTCTTGTTTTGGGTTCTTGAAATCTAATAAAATATACATATTAATTTTAATTGCTAATAAAAAATACATAAAAAAATCTACTTTTAATGATAAAAAGATAGATGTATGATAATAGCTTTTGAATTGATCAGTAAATAACAGGTAAGGGTTTGTTCAAATATTATATAAGCATATGTGCGGCAATTGTAGACCATTCCTCCCCCCTTTTCAGCAAAAATTAGCAAATTAAAAAACCATCTTACATTTACATCTTACATCTATGCTTACATTTGAAAGTTGCAACAACCTTCTTGTTTTCTACTCATACTTTTCCTTTCCTATTATGAACAAAAATAAACAAATCATGAACCCTTTAGATGATTACATGATACTTAAATGGTCACAGATAAGACAAAAAAAATTTTTAATTAAGTGTTATTTTACAAATTTATATCAGAACAAAAAACAGTATCTAATTTTCTCTTTAAATGAGCTTTGGAAGGAAATGGGCTTAGTCTGTCCACAAAATGATCCACGGCCATTCATTGTTCACTCCCAAAGGAGCTAAAGTCCCTCTTGTTAGCAGGTCAGCGGGAAGCAACTCTTGCACATAGATAATTTTGTATGGATAGGAATGCAGGACTTTCCATAAAATTTTATGCACAATGCTTACAGGCCTGTCCAATGTTAGGGCAATTCCCTATGCACTGCATGGTTGCACACCACCGTTTGACTCCTTATGCACTGTTGTGATCACTTCTTCAAATAACGTCGAATCAATTCTTTTCCTTCCTCTACCACATTACACATCAAAAGAACCAGTCATTTTGAATTTCTAAATCATTTTCTCAAGACCCACGGCAGTCATCTCACAAACACCTTTTTTCAGACACTAGAGTGTACGGAAATGTTGCAAATCTACTGGTGCACAGTCAGCGCTCTAGTAAAAAAAAAAGCTTTACAAGCAGAGCACTATCCATAATTAAGACAGTCATTGCAAACTTCTCAGATGCGAAATGAGGAAAAGCCATTTCCTGGGGTTTTTATAACAATTGCAATGAGTCATGTGCATGATGCTTACAGCACCATTTATCACTAAAATTTGGAATTTTTTTTCTTATGCTTTATGCTTTCCCAATTCAATAATATTCTACACATATTTAACTTCATTCATATTAGTGGTTCTTTTTATATAAATATGGAAACTTAAACTGTAATTATAATCACCCTGTACATAGGGAAAAAAATTAAAATCATCTCTAATATTGTCTAATTTTTTTTACTCTTATTTTGTCTAATTTTAGAGAATGACCTTTAAGCTAGCGTCAAACTATAAATAAATTTTAGAACTGATGTAAAACTAGAAACGGTTTAGAAAAAAAATTGTACATAATTTGTTTAAAAAAAAACTTCCTACTAAACTGTATTATTTTCTTCGTAGTTTGACAACCACAAACTAATTCAATTTAAAAAAAAAAACAAATAGGTTATAAGACCAAATAAATAACCTCAAACTTTCAAAAATAAACTAGTGAGTAGTAATGTTTTGACTATGAATTCGATGTCATCATTTAATTAAAACATACCATAAAAAATGTTAGCAAATTGCTCATACTGTATATTATATATCATAGACCTTCAACTAATTTTAATCCTTCAGACATTGAAAATTATTTATATTTCCTCTTTGGTATTGAACAACATTAGAAGAAATTGATTTTGTAGTAGGAAAGCCATGATTATAAGATTTACAAAAGTTATAAACTTATATCTCTGATGGTTAAAAACTTAAAAATGATAATTTAATTTTCCCTTTATTATAGAAAAATGTGTACATGTGATTTATTTGCAATAACTTACAAGATGGATCTCCCAGTTTCAATCTTTCAGATATTGCATGCAGTTGAGTCGGAGTAAATTCATATGAAACACCACGTTGAAGCATTTCTTCACCTGTAATGTAAATAAAAATAAGTTAATGTGGTAGATAAAGTTTTACTCTCAAATGATTTATTAAAAGTAATATTATAAGAAAATAAGAAGTTGATCTTATTTAAACATATAGCAAAAATTTTTGTACAGGACAAATGCATATTGAGTTAAACAGTTAGAAATTTTGTTATTTGTAATATTGCAGAATATGGAAATGGCAACAATAATAATTTAAAAGACAACACTACAAAATTCAATTGGTACAAAACAAAATGAACAGCTTATACTCAGTGTAGCAAAAAAACACTCATAAATACAATTTCTCTAATGAGAAAATTCTTAGCATTTTTTTTCTTCCCAACATTCTTTGATAATACGAAGTCTGCTCTATTCTCAGCTTGGTAACACCTTTTGCATTAGTAGTGTCTTGTTTTTCCTATTTTTATAATTTTTTCTGTTTAAGTTTCAGTGTGCAAAAAAATAGAGGACCACCCTGAATAACTTTTGATCAAATTATCAAATTTTCATGTTCTAGGACTCAATCTGAATGGCTCGAGAGGTTGGCCTCCAATATGCCAATTAATAAATGCAAACGATATTTTAAGTTATGAAATCAGATACAAAAACATACTTACTCTGAATAAAGATACCTTTTTTCAACGGATTCGGATTTCTGACCCCCAAAGTATAGGGGTAGCCGCAATCTGGGAAATATAGTCCCAATAGGAGAGCGCTCAAAACTTTGAAGCTCTTAATGCAAATTTATTTTTGAATATTTTGCTATACCTCGATAACTCTTTAAGCGAATTGGAAACTTTTCATGCACAATTATAAAATTTGTTTACACGAAGATCATTCCATATGAAAAATAACTTTTATTAAATATTTATTATTTTTATTATTTTATTTAAGAATGGTAAAAAATTGAATTGTAAGGTTTACAATTTTTTGCATCATTTTAAAGAATGTAATTTTATATGGCAAAATACAAAGTTTGAACAAAATCCGTCAAAAAATTCTTGAGAAATTTAATTTTAAGAAAGTCAGACACTTAAATTTCTATTTCTTAGGCACTATTAAACCAATTAAGCTCAAATTTTGCATTATGTGATATGAAATTAAATTCTTTAAAATGATACAAAAAATTGTGTACCATACAATTCAAAAATATTGGGATAATTCTTAAATAAAATAATAAACATTTATTTAAGTTATTTTTCATATGATTGGATAAACTTTGGATAAACAAATTTTATAATTGCGTGCAAAAAATTTTCATTCTGCTTAAAAAAGTCACAAGATATAGTGAAATACGCAAGAAGTAAAATATATATTAAGGGGTCCAAACTTTGGAGTTCTCTCCTAACCAAACTATTGGGACCATATTTCCCAGAGAAAGTATACTTTTATGTCTGATTTCGTAACTTAAAATATCGTCTGCACTAATAAATTAACATATTTGAGATCACCCTCTCGAGCCATTACGATTAAGTCTTAGAATGTGAAAATCTGATCATTAGATCAAAAGTTATTCAGGGTGGGCTGTTTCTTTTTCTTTTCTTTCTTCTTTTTGTGCACTGTACATAGTTTTACATAGGAAGTATATATATAAAATGAACTTTTATAAAGGATATATGATTGTTGTAAGACTTCAGTATGTGCAAAACAAACACATTTACAAAGGAAATATGCATGTCATAATAATGTATAGAATGAAGTTTAACAACAATGTTCCTTATATGCATAATAAAGTGTTACAATTTGAAAATTTATTGATTGTAATGTGGACTAAGACAATAACCATTATGTCGCTGGTAGCAGAATTTGAGTCAAACTGCAGCACCATCTTCATAAATCAAAATTTACCTGCAACCCAATCAGGTGGAGGCTATTATTGTAAAAATTAGGCTTAAGCTATCATGTGCATTGCAAACTTTAAATTATCACATTCAAGGTAAATGAAAATTAAATACAGAAAATGTATTTTGTTTAAATTTAGTTTGAAACATAAGAAATTGTACTTAAAAAGGGAGATGGAATAAATTTATTTGCCATATAACCTTGTGAAAGAACGGGGATAGAGTATAAAAAATGGGTCATTTCCAGAGTATTCAGTTGTTTTAAGTTTCACTATGAAAAGCCAAAATAAGTTTAGATCATGTAGCTAAAATATTCATATCATTCCTTTAAAGTATACAGCAGAGTATTCTATAATGTTCTATTTTTTCCATAAAGATCATGTACAAATTTCTGTGTTTGCAGACAAATTGTCATGCTATCCCTGCAAAAAAAGTTTGGCGAAAAATTAAAATATCTCCGGAAAAAGAATTGTGTTTTATCGAATATCTAATTGAAGCGGTGTACCGCCTAATGAATTGTCTTCGAATACCAAAAGATGGAGAAATCCTTCTAATTGCTCATCAAAGAAGGTGGGAAAAAACATCTTTACTTAGTCATTTGATCTCTATTATTTATTCATTATTTGGAAATTTCATATGAAAAAGTATCTGCAGATGCCATGATAATCTGCAATGCCTGCTGCCATACTGGAGGGTTTCTGCGACCAAATTATGCCTTAAAATAATTGCCTTATATTTTTAAAAAAAATCTTGTTCATATTTTGAATACTATATAATGGTACAGTAACAGAATTTTCATGGAAAAAGGCTAAAGTCTTAAAAAAAGGTTGGATAAATAAGTGAAAGGAAAGATTTACTACAGAAATTAAGTCATCATCAGTTTCACATACTAGATATTAATTCATCAGAAGTATCCATCCTTGTATGTGTAACTGACAGTCTTCTACCAGTTCCATAGCATGGAAGAATAATGCAAGATATTAAGACTTTTTTTTCTTCTCTTTTTTCATGTCTTTTCATCCTCACATCATCCTCAACATTCAAAAGTAGAAGCAAAGAAAATGTATTTATAAGCAACCGAGAATATTCACTGCGCTTTTTGAAATTCAGTTTGCCTTTTGTTTAAAAATAAAAGAAAAAACTAATTTTAGCATCTAGATTAAATTTTAAACTTCTTAAAAATGTATTTCTGACAATAAAAATTCAATAAACAGTGACTTCTTAAAAAATAATAAACATATGACAGCACAAGATATATCCCACAGTTAATTTTAAAAAAAATTTAAAAATAAGTAACCATAATAAACACACAAGAAAAATGAATACAATACAATATGACATATGACTTTTATAATTTAGAAGTAAATATTTAAAAAATTCTTTTTTTTTTTTTGGAGATTTAAGATATATTTTATTCTGATAGTTTTTAATTAGACATGATTGAATAATGCAATCAGGTCATTTACAAGTCCAATGTATGCTAATGCAACAGAAAAATATTTAAGCAAACAAAAACATTAAGTTTAAAAAAATATAAAGATATTTTTAAAAGATTACTGCCATCAAAATATGAAATAAAAATATCAATCTAATTATACATTGAATATTATTAGTGCCTCAAAGTTGAAAGGTGAAGTTGTGGTTATTTTGGGAAGTGTTGTATCATCAATACCTCTTATCCAAGGTTATGCCAATGTTAAGCTGAATTAAATACAATAATACAAAGCTGTTTCTCAAGAGTTATGTTACAGTTTAACTGTAAATACACGATATACAAAAGTGTTTTTTAACATTTGATTTTAATATTTTTTAATACACATACCTGTAGAGAAGAAAGTCTCTGAGAGAGCGGCAGTAATGGCTCTTACTTCCTAAAAACATACAACATGGACAATTAAATAAAATTATTAAATTTCAGAAAAAAAATCATTTTAGACAAAATAAACAAAATAACAAAGCAACAAAAATAAAATTACAGTAAAAACTTCTATATCCAGAATGCATAAGAAATAGGCTGACTTAAGATAAATAAAAATTTCTGACATTTGCGCACTGAAATACTAAATTTTTCATATCACTTTATTTTTTTTGTCTCAAAAACATATAAAAATCAATAGTTATAAAAAATTAATAACCATAAAGAGAGAATATTATAAAATCTTAGAAGATTGATTTAGAGATGTACAGGTAAAATGATGCAATATAGTGAGCATGTGGGTAAAAGAGGAATGCACTAACTGTTTTATTTATTTATATTTAACATTTATTTTAACAATTTTAAGTTGTTTAATCATTTGATTTATTTATAACTGAGATACTATTATAAAAGAAATTATACATTTGCTATCATTTTATGCTTTAATTTTGTGCAAAACAAGATTATTTGTTTATTTTTATATCTATTTTATAAAAATTAATTTGAATGGTTTAAGCTGTTTTTTATTTGATAGGTTAAAATTTATAAATTTAAAATTAGTAAAAAGAAACAGGATGTGTTTGTGATTGTTTTGTGTTGTACAATTTTGCACGAAACAAGATTTATTTTATTTTATTTAATTATTAATAATACTTTTGAATTATTGAATTATTTTGAATTATTATTAAATTTTTCTATTAATTTAATGCATGTGGATAACTTATTTTAATCATATTTATGATCTTAAACACTTGGCTTACATATAATTCGAGTTTTTTAAATCGGTTTGTTAACGAAATTTTATTGTGTTGCATTTGAATTTTACACGATTGTACAAGGTACTATTTTGTATAGGGTAAACCAACCAGTGAAGGAACATTTCATATATATTGATTAAAAATAAGAATTTAAAAGTTTTTCTTTAGATTGATTGGTAACAACAGCTTACTGCCAAACAATAGGAAGTCATCTAGCAATGTTTTGGATTGCCTGATCAAATAGACTTCTTTGGAAAGATTCTTGAATTTGTTATTATCTCTGCAACACCTTGTTTCTTTGAAAAAAATTATAAGGTGAGTGTTTGTATTTATATGTTTGAAGTGGAATTAACTGCATGTAATAGTTTTATTTTTCTCACTGTGAAAAAGAGAATTCAAAATATAGTTATTGAAGTTACTCTTTTTTTTTAAGCGTCATAGCATAATAAAGTACTGAGATAATGGGGTGTTTATTCACTGGATCACCAAACGATGAAAAACCAGTGAACAAGTGTTCCTTTACTGGGTTTTTTTCTAAGTTAATGAAAATGAAAGATAAACTTTAATTTTCTTGTACCTTTCTGCATCAAAAGTATGTTAAAAATACGAAAAAAAACTTCTAACCAGTGAGGGAACAGGCATGTTCCTTTACTGGGCATAGATTTCCCAGTGAATGAACAGTATGTATTAATATGTTGACACTTTAATTTTCAATTCATGATCACAAAAAAAAGTTAACATTTTCCAAGTATTTATATGTTATAATTTCAAGAATAGGCTTGTTCTTAAATATTTGTATAGCTTATAAATTCATAAAGAGCATTAAAAAATAACCAAAATTAAGTGTTCCTTTACTGGGTGTTCATTCACTGGTAAGAGCTGTTCCTTCACTTGATCTTCTTACTACTTGTTATTTGAACCTCTTAAACTTTAAAACAATATTATGTAAGCTCTCTACAATTTTTTTACATAATTTGCAATTAGTAACAAATATGTTGACACTGTCATTTAACTAAAATTACGAATTTTGAAATTAATATGATTTTGTAAAAGGCAAGTGAAGCTTAAGTGTTCCTTCACTGGTTAGTTTACCCTACATTTGAAAAGGTAATATAAAAATTATTGAAATACATAATTTCTGATTTTAACTAAGATTGCATAAATAAATTCATCATATATATAATAATTATTTTATTGATTTTTAATAATTTAATCATTTATTTCGTATATAACTTGTTATTTGAAAAAGATGTGTTTATTCTGCGATCGATCACAAACTCAAATTTTGTGCCCTGTATTCAATGGAGCGGCTTTTTTGATGAAAAACTTTTTCATTTTAGTAGCACGGTATATAAACCAGGGCGGCATATCTCTGTGCAATTACAGTATATATATAAACACTAAAAAAATTATTTTCTGAAACTGGGAATTTGGTAGCAGTTGAAAGGTATGGTATTAATTATATAAAGGCCAATATTTTGTATGTTCATAAAAAAGCTGCTCAAATATTTATATTTTTTAATTGAATAAATGAGGAATATATTTATTTATAAATAATGAATGAGAACTGTTCTAAAATTTAAAAAAAAAATTAACATTTCATATATTTAAAAATATATATATAATTTGATCAAACATGGCACATATGTTTAAGGAGTAATACAGGGTTGCCACTCAAATCTGGAAATAAAATTCCCTGTGATTTCCCTGTACATATTATACGCAATATATTAAGAGGAAACAACAATTACTATGCTCTTGTGTGAGCTATATTGGGCTAACTATATTTATTAGTTTTAATTGCTGGAAAAACAGCTGAACATGTTTAAATAATGCTATAGTAAATGAAATAGTTTAGTATAGCTGAAATATTATGGTTAAATATCCCGCTTTGTGTGGTCACCATTTTTTAAAAGACAAAAATAAGAAACAAAATTCCCTGTATTTTCTCTGTTGTAAAGAAAAAATCAAAATTCCCTGCATTTTCCCTGTTATTTCAGGCAATTTTTAAATTCCCTGTATTTTCCAGGTTTTTCTTGTTCTCCCTGTGGAGTGGCAACCCTGTAATAGAACACTGTTTAGAATATAATTGCCGATTGTAGATTTGGAGCAACCAAATATAACAAAACTAAAAAACATAAAATGTTATTGATGAAAAAGTAAAAGAATTCTCTTGCCAAAGCACATAAAATTACATATAATGCTATTGTTAATAATGAAAATTAATAGTACTTAATTCTTATGTTTGAGAGTTTGAGAAAATAAATTTCCAACTTTAAAATTTTTAATTCAAATAAGGGACTTACATATTTTTGAAAATCCAAGAAAATTGCAAGAGGTTCAGGTAGAATTGTGAATAGCTGAATCAGTGACTGAAGATAATGCTCTAGAGCTTTTTTCCGTTCACATATAAAAGATTCTGATCTATTGCCAAAGATCTTTTTCGGTGGTAACAAATTTTTATCAACACCATATTCCTTAACCATCTATTTAAAAAATATACATAGAAGTATACAAATGAAAGCATTTGAATTTTGTAAACATATACACAAATATAAATACATAAAAGTAAAGAACAGGAGCTAAAGTTGAAGTATCAGAAAGAAATATCTAGTTGATTTTAACATGTACTGTATTGTGGGCAGTGTGACTAGTTTTATTTTTAAATAATCAAAAGAAAAGAGAATATATATAAAATTTAAAGTACTTTAACAATAATATTTTTTACATGGCTTGGGGATTGTCCCATTGGCCACAGAAATGCCAGAATTGCTACTCTCTTCTCGTTACCCAGTGGGCACCTATGGCGAAGCCACAACGGGGGAGAGGCGTCGCCCACGTCACACAACCACAAACCCGTTTATAGGGCCGGTCACATTCACACAGAAAAAAAAGGACATAGAACACAGAGAGAGAAAGAAACATCCATGCCCTGAGCGGGATTCAAACCCGCAGTCAGACACGCTAACCACTAGGCCATAACAATAATATAATTATACTAAACGGTTATAATGAAATATATATCCACATTCTTCATTTGGTAACAATAATATACAGTACAGAACCCGTGATCCGTAAATCAGAAAACCAAAAAACCGGAACGAAATTCGATAAATTTTCGCTCCATTTTCAAAAAAAAAATTTTTTCCTCATAAGATTTTAGGATTTTTCTTTCTTTTTTGAAAGATGTTTACCTTACCATCATTTTGGAAATAATCATTAGTGTATTACTTCATCGTTTTTTTTTCTTTTTAAGATTATTTCTAAATTTTTTTTTTAGTTGGGTTTAATAATAAAAAAAACGGCTTTTTGTAGTGATTCAGAAAACCGGAAAAATCAGTTATCCGGAATAGCGATGGTCCCAATCGTTCCGGATAATCGGTTCTCTACTGTATATTACACATAATGAAATATATATTACACATATTGAAAACAAATGAAGAATGTGAAAAGGTTCCCATTTCTATTTTCGATTTTCACGTTAAAATGTTCATTCTCCTCTCAACATTTTTCATTTTCAATCTTAGTTCATTTTCTTATTTTCTCATTCTCTTCTAATCAATTATGCCACATTACCACCCCCTTAAAAGTTAAAACCCAATCATTTTAAGTTAAGAATAACTATCCACTTAAAAGTAAAATATCTTTAACCAATCCTGAATTAAAAAGGGGAGCTCAATGATCCACCCACCTTAAAACCAGTAGGTCAAAAAATATCCTCAACCTTTTCATTGGGATTTTTCTCACAGTATGAGCAAATATATAAATATTGTCATACCAAACAAGTGTTCCAAAAACAGAAGAAGGTCTGAAATACATTATATCTTACATTGATATTTTAAGTTTAAAAAAAGGAAATTAATAATAGAATTAAAAATAAATATCAAATTAAAAGGTTACATATAAATATAAATTAAGTTACTATACAAATTAAGATATTATAACAGAACTATCACTTTTTCGTAAAAGCATATTTGACATTATTGCAATATTTTGGGTTGGGCATGGCATTAATGGGACTAAGAAAGACACTTGTATTTGACTAAAAAATTTTCTGGTATTCCTTATATATATATAATTATTAGTTTAACACCCCCTAACATCTACTACCCATCATTTGATATGAAGCATGGTAATACCTCCTTAAAGATAAACCTCCCACGATGCACAGAAAAAAAGAAAGTAGCAATGCATACTTATAAGGCAGGAGGCCCTATAGTGTTATATTCAAAATTTTTCACCTGTCAAATGTCTGACTAAATATTTTATTTATATGAACACCTCAATGACTAAATTTAGACTCTCTGTAAAAAAAAAAAGTTTAAAAAAAAAAAAAAAAACAGTTGTGTTAAATAGTCTCCAAATTGATTTAGAAGTAAAAAGGAATTTTAGTGGGGAAGAGGAATGGAAACAATTAAGGCATCATATTAGCACCAGATGAAAAGATACCACTGTCTGAAATATTTTACATGAGCAGCAGCCTTTTCTCTCCTTTCTTTGCAAAGATAAAGGAAGGTGACGGGAGAATTTTTATTATTTAGTAATGAAAAAGTTTAACAATATTTTTAAAAACACAACTTAATTGCAACAAAGACACATAGAGAACTAAACTACATAACACATAAAACCTAAAAATAAACATTTACGAATCACATGACTTTGTGCTACCATCTATATTCATTTCAAGAACTATTTCTTACAGAAATAGCTATATTTTAAATGAAACATTTTTAGAACATTTTCCTAACATCAATTATTTTTATAGATATTTTTGCAAGAAAGCTATGGTATCTAAAAATGTAAAAAATTTTGCATTAATGTTTATTTAACAGATTTCCATTAGTATTTAAAAGTGGAAAAGTTATATGAGAAAATTTAATATTTTTTCATTTGGCTCTATTCAAACTAAAATTTACATAAATAATTTTTAAAAATTTAACTTTGAAAAAGATTATTTTTGTTTAAAAAAAATAATTAAAAAAAAAACATGCTTGTTTTTTCCAAAAAAAAAATGAAATATTTGGTTTACAATGTGATTTAACCACATTGTTTAAACCAGGCAACCCTGATGAAATATTTTCAAAACTAGTTTAGATTTTATTTCAAAATTAGTGCCTTAGTTTGTAATAAATTCGAAAAATGAAGTTTTCATAACAATTTGATAAATAACTTTAAAAAGAGTGTATACTAAAGTACACCACAGTCATGTCTGATCTTCAGATATATTTTACTTTATATTTTTATTTCTTGTACTAAAAAATCACTTTTGTTATCTTATTTACAAATGATGAGATAAAAGCAGATTTTGAACATTCAAACTTTAAAATCTCATTAATATATGAATTTAAATAAGAAGATAAAAGATTACAAACTAGGGTATTTTTGTGAGTTCAAATAATATTTTTATGCATAAAATGAAGGTCATTATTTATTTATTTTTATTTTAATTTAGTCACTTATTCATTTTTAAAATTCTATAAGACTTTAAAAATTTGAAAAATCATATTTTTTTTTTAAATGAAACTAAAAATATCTATTTACAATGATAGTGTTGTTAAAACAAAAAAAGTTTTGAAAAAAATTAAAATTTTCAAATTTGGAATGATTTATAAGATAAAAACATCTTTATTTAATAAATTAAAGTAAATATTCCATCAAATAAAATATATATACATTTAAAAAGAACACTGCAGTCCTTATTTTGATAGTAAATTGCAGTTTTTCTCCTTTTTTATTTTGTTTAAATGTATTACATGTGTGCCCTTGTGTTTGATGTTCTATTCCTGTACACACTGACAAGTATGTTTGTGCTCGAATTATTAACTTTATTTTGTAGGTACTAATGTTGTAAAATGAACAACAATCAACACATGACACAAATTATTACAACATAATCAAAAAAATATAATACCTTAAAAGTATAAAATAAGAAAAATGACAAGAACATTTCACAACCATTTACGAATTCATTATAATAATTTAAATTAATATTACAATATTATAATTTGAATAGATTTCAACACTAATTTTAAAATACCAGTTAAATATTTATAAAGAAATATTCAAATAAAATAACTAAACTGCAAATAATTGCATATAAATAATAACTTTCCTAATTGTTTATAAGTATAATAGATCAAAATTAACTTAATGTACCATACCTTCTCATGAAGTTCAACAAACTGTTTATATCTTCGAGAAACATGCCACTTGCAATGGGATACTTTGACATCAATAATGTAACTCTGAAAATATAACCATTTAACTCATTTATAATACAACATATGAACATTTATTCAAATTTTGTGCACAGTAATAGATCCTTTATTATAAAAATATCTTCAGTACACAAGATGTATGTTCAGAAATCAACATATTTAATATACATTTCAAGAATCTATATGATATTTTTTTTTTTAAATTTTAAAAAGTATAGACGTTTGGCGTTGCAAATTAATAAGAAGGAAAAATATATTGAACATTAAAAAAAATATCAAGATTAAAAATAACAAGGCATGATTGTTTGTAGAATGAAATTGAGTGAATAGTTTAGTCAAGCTCTAAAACCGGTTTCATTAATTTTTATCCCGCTTCTCTTAATCAAAATTCATTAGAATTTAATAATACTTACCATATATTCCACTGTTTAAGTAAACTTGAAATCCTCAAAATTTTACGAAAATCATGGGGTTGCATACTATCATACACTATTAATAAAGTGGGGTATTCCTTAATCATGAAATATCGATACATTATAAACAATGAGATAGATAGGAATAACCCTGTATTAATTTATCTCCTTTAAATCTTTTATTTAATTAGTTATATGGAAAAAGTTCTGCATTTTTCTCATATTTTCTTTACAAATAAAGGTTTTTTTTTCTTTAACAATGTCTAAAATTATGTTCAAAAAAAAATTAAGAAAAAGATATGTTTCTTTATTCACAAATATTTCTAAAAATATAAAACAAGGAAAACTTTTAAAACATACCCTAAAGATACAAATTTAAAGATTCCAGAACATCATCTGCATCAGGTTAAATAACACTAGCAAGCAGGTGGTAAGATAAACCTGATTAAGTGGCCGTGCCACAGTTACATCTTTATTAACATCTTTATTTACAGCTACACCTCAAGGTATTTTTATTTGAGGGTAAATGAGGCATATTCAGAAAGAACAAGGCGAAATATTTTCATTGAAGAAATTTTATAATTTATTTTACTAATTTTTTTCCGCAGTCGAGTTATACACACGGCATACCAAAATATTGGCTTTCTCACAACAAAAAATATGGGTAAACTTATAAAACCAGCATAAACGGTTTGTTTTTCCTCACTTAAATATCAATTTGCATCTTCTAATACATAGGGAAAAGCAGGGTAAAACAGGGAAGATAAGATTTGAAAGCCTATTGGAACAAAACTGTTTGACCTAGAAACTGTCAATTTAATCAAGATATTCATTGCATAGTTATGTACAATATATTATTCCTGAAAAGTCATATATGAACTCCTTTTTTTAAAAAGATATTTTTCAATAAAAAGCCAAATCACTCAGAGTTATCCCACTAGTAAGGTAAGACCAAGAACACAAATAAACTCTATGGGAATTTTAGAAACACTAGAATTTCATTGTAAAAATAGCAGACATTTCTATTTTTCCAGGTTCCTATCCTCCAACTGGCAAGGTTACATTTCATCCCATCACTGGGTTGATAAAATTTAAAAAAATTTTATAGGAAGGGATATTTTGCACTGTTACCCCTTAAAATGCCAACTACATTTCCTAAGATACTTAAAGATTTTTGAATTAGCAAATTTTTTTTTAAAAAAGTGGTTTGGGAGTTAGCATTTTGGGTTGGTCACTTACATGATTTTCTTTTTAATTTCTTGTGAGATATTTCCCAGAAGTAGGGCAGGAAAAAAAACCCGGGGTTTATTTTGAAAAATCCCTACCCAGGCTGGTATTTTTGGGGGATGAA